CGAAATGTTTGTATTCATAATTGGAACATGATTTAAAGACTTGCAGCTGCATTTTCATCTTTTGTAATTTTTCTATTATTTCATGCATTTAAAAACTAGGCTTACTCCCCCAGGTTTAAAAATTACACCCAAGGAAGAATGCAGAGAAAAAAAGTGTTTCATATTTGCATGAAGTAATGACAAACGAGCAGAAGCCTACAGGCTGTGACCCATTCTTACAAATATACAAGTCTGGGTTTGTGAGATACCAAAGCAATATCCCTCCGGGCCAGTACCTGTGAATACAGTGTTTACTCTCCAAGTATTCCATCCCAGCAGCAGCATTTTCTGACATCCTGATAAGCTCCTTCATCTTCAGTCTGATGCCTTCATTCCGCAAAAACGTTAGGAAATCGCCACCTGCAGGAGAACAAAATGACTTCATCCGTCTGCTGTGTTTTTTTATACGAATTCACAAGCCATCAGTCTTATTGTAAGAAATATTTTGATTCCAAAATCACAGGATAATTTTAAATATCATCAAAGTTCATGCCCTTAACTTACCATGCTTATGAACTATTTTAATTTAATTTTTCATATAAATCAGTTTGTATCGGAAAGGAAAATGCCAACTAAATTGAAGAAAGCAGACATGATGGCAGCAATGTATATAAAATACACTTAGATTTCCTTCCATGTCCAGTCCTTCTACTAGATCTTGTATCTCTCCGGATAATGTAGGTTATCCCATAGACTTTTTTTGTCCAGTATGGGAACCACCAAATTGTATTGGAAATATATATATGTACAGTGGGGATCAAAAGTTTGGGCACCCCAGCTAAAAATTTGTATTGTGCATAAAGAAGCCAAGGAAAGATGGAAAAATCTCCAAAAGGCATCAAATTACAGATTAGACATTCTTATAATATGTCAACAAAAGTTATATTTTATTTCCATCATTTACACTTTCAAAATAACAGAAAACAAAAAAATGGCGTCTGCAAAAGTTTGGGCACCCTGCAGAGTTAATAACTTGTACTGCCCCCTTTGGCAAGTATCACAGCTTGTAAACGCTTTTTGTAGCCAGCCAAGAGTCTTTCAATTCTTGTTTGAGGTATCTTTGCGCATTCTCCCTTACAAAAGTCTTCCAGTTCTTTGAGATTTCTGGGCTGTCTGTCACGCACTGCTCTTTTAAGGTCTATCCATAGATTTTCAATTATGTTGAGGTCAGGAGATTGTGAAGGCCATGGCAAAACCTTCAGTTTACGCCTCTTGATGTAATCCCCCGTGGATTTTGAGGTGTGTTTAGGATCATTATCCATTTGTAGAAGCCATCCTCTCTTTAACTTCAGCTTTTTCACAGATGGCATCAAGTTACCATCCAAAATTTGCTGAAATTTTATTGAATCCATTTTTCCTTCTACTCGTGAGATGTTCCCTGTGCCACTGGCTGCAACACAACCCCAAAGCATGATTGATCCAACCCCATGCTTACCAGTTGGACAGAGGTTCTTTTCATTAAATGCTGTGCCCCTTCTTCTCCAAACGTACTTTTGCTCATTCTAGCCAAAAAGTTCAATTTTAACCTCATCGGTCCACAGAACTTGTTTCCAAAATGCATCAGGCTTGTCTATATGTTCATTTGCAAAGTTCAAATGATGATTTTTGTGGTGAGGACGTAGAAGAGGTTTTCTTCTGATGATTCTTCCATGAAGACCATATTTGTACAAGTATCTCTTTATAGTGGAATAGTGTACCACAACTCCAGTGTCTGCCAGATCTTTCTGGAGAGATCGTGCAGTCAAACGTGGGTTTTGAATTGTTTTTCTCACAATCCTGCGAGCTGTTCTGTCTGATATTTTTCTTGGTCTTCCAGATCTTGCTTTAACTTCCACTGTTCATGATGACTGCCATTTCTTAATTATATTCCGAACAGAGGATATTGACATCTGAAAACGCTTTGCTATCTTCTTATAGCCTTCTCCAGCTTTGTGAGCGTCAACTATTTTCAGTTTCAGTTTTCTAGATAATTGCTTAGAAGAACCCATGGTGCTGATTGTTGGGGCAAGGTCAGATGAGTCTGGGCATTTAAAACCTTTGAGATTGACATCACCTGGTCTTCCCAGACGATGATTGAGAACAATCCATGACACTAACAGGTCTCAGCTTTGCAAAGGGGGCAGTGCATGCTATAAATTCTGCAGGGTGCCCAAACTTTTGCAGACTCCATTTTTTTGTTTTCTGTTATTTTGAAAGTGTAAATGATGGAAATAAAATCTAACTTTTGTTGACATATTATAAGAATGTCTAATCTGTAATTTGATGCCTTTTGGAGATTTTTCCATCTTTCCTTGGATTCTTTATGCACATTAATACAAATTTTTAGCTGGGGTGCCCAAACTTTCGATCCCCACTGTATACACAGTATAGATATATATATATATATACACACACATATACACACACTCTGTATTGCCAAAACTATTGGGACACCTGCCTTTACACGCACGTGAACTTTAATGGCATCCCAGGGTTCAATATTGAGTTGGCCCACCCTTTGCAGCTATAACAGCTTCAAGTCTGGGAAGGCTGTCCACAAGGTTTAGCAGTGTGTCTATGGGAATGTTTGACCATTCTTCCAGAAGCCCATTTGTGAGGTCAGGCACTGGAGTTCAAATGTTCTCCCTGTGCCTGTATGGGTTTCCTCCCACACTCCAAAGACATGCTGGTAGGTTAATCGGCTCCTGTCTAAATTGGCCCTAGGATGTGTATGTATGGATGTGAGTTTAGGGACCTTAGACTACACTCCTTGAGGGTTAGCGAATGATGTGAATGTACAATAAATATGTAAAGCATTGCGTAAATTGACAGTGCTCATATATACGACCTGTAATTAATAGGGGTTCCTTGATCATGGCTTCCCGAAAAAAGAGGATTTGGTGGACTGGTGCTATATGTGGCTTCATGCACACATTTATATCTGATGCATGAGGCTGCAGCAGAGAGCAAAGATGTGCCTTCCAGCAGCCGGCCAAACTGAGCGGACTGGACGACTCACCTAGCAGTACCTACATGTAGGGCACTATCGTCCAGAGATGAATACTTGGAACACAGACTGCTTGCATTCCCAGCATTTGTCTCTGGGTGCATACTACAAATGTAAGTACCGCTTGGTGCACCATCCTGCCTCATCCAGCCATAGCATCTATCAGTCTCTCATAGAGCAGAGCTGGATGGTGCACATGTGCCCTCTGTCCACAGATATCTGCTGGAGCCTCTTGCATCGGGGCTAAATGTCCATAGTGCATGAGGCCTATGCCGGGATGAAAAACCATAGAACTGAGGATAACATCTCCATTCCCTGTATGCCTCTTGGGACTTAAGCTAAGCTAAAGCTAAACTCCAAGCAAATTATTGTAGCTTTGTAATGACTAATACCCTATTCAATGTATTTTTTTAAATACAAGCAGTGTAAGTACCTGAATGGTACCTGGTATCAGCCTCCTGCAGTCCCTGTACAGCAGGGCTGAAGTGTGAGAAGAAGAAGCAGTATAAGGAGGCAATACGTTGATGTGCTGACAAGAAACATGTTGATAGGGGAATAAAGCAGAATGACTGGGGTCAGGTCCAAGATGACCTGGACTCAGAGGAAGTGGGTTGAATGATGCTGGCCATCAATTGGCAGAAAAAAGGTACTGCGGGGGAAATCTCTGGATTGAAGCTAGTTTTGTTATTTTATAATTTATTGAGCTATTTGTTCTTGTCTTTTTATTTTTGGATGGAGTCCTGCTTTAATTTTCAATTCTGTCTGCAGCGTACTGAAGACTAAAGGGTCTGTTTATAATAAAGTTGCTCTTTGTCTGGTGAAACTTGCATTTTCATTTATTTTGTGTAAATAAAGCTATCTTAGGCCAAATATTTATCACTCATGAGTAAAGAGTGGTTTAGGAAAATACCTCATTATGTCCACTAGATGACGATAAATGTCATAAGAAATAAATATAATACTGTATGTTCCTGAACCACTAGGTTTTAATGAATGGAAAACGTTTGACCTATAGAGGAAGTAGCCTGGGGACATTCAATTTTGCCCTATTCACACAGACTGAATGTACATGACAGTTTCACCAATTTTTTTTTTTAACTAGACCCTAACATTCTTAGGTAACATTCACTTAGTTATGCATGTTTGCAAGTATGTCCAAACCACGTTCTAACTGACAATGCTATTCAATGGGTATATTAAAAAAAGCAGTCAGCCTGACATTTACCAAACATTCACTTCAGTCTGTTCTGTATAATAAAGTACTCTAGTAAAAATTGATCTGATGCTAACAATCACTGCAGGTGAATAAATATGCCTGATATATTGATATTGGGATATATTTTATTTTGATGCATAGCAGACCAGACTATTACTCACCTTGTACCAACTCCATGACAATGTATATTGGATGTTTCTGGGTGCAGACTCCAATCAGTTTGACAATGTTGGGGTGACTGTATTGTTTCAGAATCCTTCACAAAGAGAACACAAATGGTAAGATTTGATAGTAGAAGTTGGCAGATACAATGACACTCTGATCTACACTCACAGATATGCGAAGCTCGCTCAGCTTTAAATAATGCATAAATAATAGCACAGAAAAAGTAAAATTAACCGATGTTTATTTGCAAACCGAGACTTCAGGAAAATGCAATTTGTGTTGCTGTCTTCCGTTTTACTGTCTTTTTTCCTCTTGACAGCTTTTCTATAGTACAGCACACGTTTTAGAATTTTTTTTAAGTTAGTCTATTTATTTATTTAGTTTGAAATGCTGTAAATATGTGTGCATAGCATGACTGATTTACAGAAGTAATTTATGTAGTATAACTATTATCAAGGGTATATTTAGTGTTGCCCATCCAAAGCGGATTGTCACCACCTATCATAGCCATTATAATTTCTCACTGTTGTTGCTTTATCCTCTGACTAAGCCTTTCTCAACCTTTTTTATCCCAGAGTAATCCTTTAAAAATGTATTAGGTCTCAGGGAACCTCTACTAAACTGAAAAAATTGGAAATCAGTGGGAAGAATGCCCTTTACACTGGTGGTTAGTGGGGAAAAAGCCTCTTACATTGCTGGTTGGTGGGAAGAATGTCCCTTGCATTGGTGGTCAGTGGGAGGAATATCCCTTATATAGGGGGTCAGGGAGAAAAATATCCCTTACATTGGAGGTCAGTGGGAAGAATGTTCCTTACATTGAGGGTCAGTGGGAAGAATGTTCCTTACATTGGGGGTCAGGGGAAGAATGTTCCTTACATTGGGGGTCAGTGAGAAGAGTATCCCTTACATTGGAGGTCAGTGGGAAGAATGTCCCTTACATTGGAGGTCAGTATTATTATTATTATTATACAGTATTATTATTATACAGTATTTATATAGCGCCAAAGGGTATGCTCAGCGCTGTACAGTAGCAAGGGGGGCATAACATGAGACAAGACAGTAACAATACACTAAACGAGGGGTTCGAGGGCCCTGCTCTTTCAAGCTTACAATCTAGGAGGGAGGGGAAGGTGGCACAGGAGGAGATGGCTGTGGGGGATGGAGTGGTGGGAGGAGTGGAGGAGGTTAGTTGTTAGGTGAGGTCGGATGATAGGTGAGGTAGGAAGAATGACCCTTACATTGGGGTTTAGTGGGGAGTATATCCCTTACATTGGGGGTTGTTGGGGAGTATATCCCTTACATTGGGTGTCAGTGGGAAGAATGACTCTTACATTGGGGTTCAGTGGAAAGAATGCTTCCCTGCATTGGGGGGGGGGGGCTCTGAGGGAAGATAGTCCCTTACACTGGGGGGGGTCAGTGGGAAGAATGCCTCCTTACATTGGGGATCAGTGGGAAGAATGCGTCTTATATTGGTCGTCAGTGGGATAAACATCTCTTATATTGGGGGTCAGTAGGAAGAATGACCCTTTCATTGGGGTTCAGAGGAAAGAATGTCCCTTACATTGGGGGTCAGTAGAAGAATGCCTCTCACATTGGTGGTCAGTGGGAGAATGTCCCTTACATTGGTTGTCAGTTGGAAGAATGCCTCTTACATTGGTGGTCGGTGGAAAGAATGCCCCCTTTACAATGGTGATAGGAATGTCACCCTTACGGAAAGCTAAAACAATCAGGGGTGTAATGTTGTTGGCTCTGCCAGGTGGTGTTTGACCTGGGACTATGAAGGCATCATCAGATGGAAGGTCAACCAGTCACAGCTCCAAAATCCCCTAGCAACCTCAGGAGGAACCTAAACTTGGTTGGGAATGGTTGCCTAATAACAATACATTTTTACCCCAAGAATGAATCTGCATGATGTTTCCCAGGATGAAGCATTTTTATAAATACACCCCTAAGTCAATTGTTTAGATATGGTTTTTCCCACCTTATGCTACGGTTTCTCCAAAAGAGGTTAGGCAAATGAAAGCGACAGGATTCAGATGCCGAAAGAGTACACAGCAATAATAATTTCAAGAATATTCAACTTCTGCATAAGCCAGATTGTGACAAGTACTCAAAAAAGTGCACCTGTGCCCAGACTATGAACATTAATTTATTTTGCTACACCAACCAAGCAGTGATTATCAAATATTGTCAAATATTACAACAAAGACTATAGAGTCCACTTTCAGGCTGTTTCCAAAAGCTCAGTAACACCCGCTGTTTGTTTACAATTGAATGTTGACAGGCTATCAAGATCTGATCTCATAAAAAAAACACAGATTTCAGAGTGAACTTTGAAAATGAATTCCTCCACAATGCCTATAAATACATATTTGGATAAGAGGCCATTTTAAATTACTTTTACTGCTTGCTCAGAATATGTAAATATTTTGGTGTTTAAAGTCTGAGCACAGGATTACGTTATTGATAAAGTAATGTGTTTTAATTATAATGGAAATACTCTACAGTTAAAATACAGTAAAATCGTTATAATTCCTAAAGATATTACAAAGGAGAAGCAGAGTCTGTTATGTAGACATGCACGGCACTAATATATTGTCAAAGGAGCGCCTGCAGAACTGAGCATATCATCTGCTGCTATTTTAAAGAGGAATTCACCTAATAAGCCCTAACTACTCAAAAAACTGTCCCCTACCCCCTCCTATGCTGACTAAACTGTGTACAAAAGATCTGTATACTTACCTATTTTCAGCCCACTCTGGTCCAGTCACATGATCTCCCCTGTGTCTGCCAGCCATGCTTCATGGGAGAGGAAAGTGCGCCCACAATGGCAAGTAACACCTGAAATGGTGACATCACCCACAGACTTCAATAGCCTGTCTGAAATGGGAGTTCTTCAAAAAGGCTGTATGTGAACACACTGCAAAATATATTCCCATGGGCAACAAGTTTAAAAGGCTAAAAATCAAACCTACAGTCATGGCCGAAATTGTTGGCACCCTTGATATTTCTCCAGGTTAAAAAAATCATGTAGATAATAACGAAACGTATTGCATTAACACATGTAAAATACACATGAAGGTGTGTATTGGGACAAAACCAAAAGACATAATGTCACACAAACCTCCAAAAAATGGGCTGGACAAAAGTATTGCAGACAACTGCGGTATAAAAAGAATACAAGCATGTGATGCTCCTGTAAACTCACCCAAAGTAACAGGTTCAATATAAAATCACACCTGAAAGCAATAAAAAGGAGAGACGTTCACTTAACCTTTGCATTGTGTGTCTGTCTGTGCCACACTAAGCATGGACAACAGAAAAGGAGACGAGAACTGTCTGAGGACCTGAGAACCAAAATTGTGGCAAAATATCAACAATCTCAAGGTTACAAGTCCATCTCCAGAGAACTAGATTTGCCTTTGTCCACAGTGCAACATTATCAAGAAGTCTTTGCAACCCATGGCACTGTAGCTAATCTCCCTGGTCGTGGACGGATGAGGAAAATTGATGAAAGATTGCAACGCAGAATAGTCCGGATGGTGGATAAGCAGCCCAAACATGTTCCAAAGACATTCAAGCTGTCCTGCAGGCTCAGGGAGCATCAGTGTCAGCGCGAACTATCCGTCGACATTTAAATGAAATGAAACGCTATGGCAGGAGACCCAGGAGGACCCCACTGCTGACACAGAGACATAAAAAAGCAAGACTACAGTTTGCCAAAATGTACTTGAGTAAGCAAAAGCCTTCTGGGAAAACGTCTTGTGGACAGATCTTGACCAAGATAGAGCTTTTCGGTAAAGCACATCATTCTACTGTTTACCGAAAACGGAATGAGGCCTACAAAGTCAGTACCTACGGCATATGGTGGAGGTTCAATGATGTTTTGGGGTTGTTTTGCTGCCTCTGGCATGGGTGCCTTGACTGTGTGCAAGGCATCATGAAATCTGAGGATTACCAAAGGATTTTGGGTCGCACTGTAGGGCCCAGTGTCAGAAAGCTGGGTTTGCGTCCAAGATCCTGGGTCTTCCAGCAGGACAATGACCCCAAACATACGTCAAAAAGCACTCAGAAATGGATGGCAAAGAAGCGCTGAGAGTTCTGAAGTGGCCACAATGAATCTAAAAACACCTGTGGAGAGATCTTAAAATTGCTGTTGGGAAAAGGTGTCCTTCCAATAAGAGAACCTGGAGCTTTTGCAAAGGAAGAGTGGTCCAAAAAAGGTGTCAGAAGCTTATTGATGGTTATAGGAAGCGACTGATTTCAGTTATGTTTTCCAAAGGGTGTGCAACCAAATGAAGTTAAGGGTGCAATACTTTTGTCCAGCCCATTTTTGGGGTTTTGTGTGACATTATGTCATACTGTTTTATATTTGTTCCAATTACAAAGGGAATAACATGTGTATAGCAAAACATGTGTTAATGCAATACCTTTTTTGTGGAAATACTTGATTTTCAGGAAAAATATCAAGGGTGCCAACAATTTCGGCCATGACTGTATGTGGCTTACGGCCAAAGTTAAAAAAGCTATAGATAATAAGAAAAGAGCTTTTATTAAATGTAAAAATGAAGGAATGCTATCATCATTTAAACGTTACAAAGAATATAACAGAAAAAAGAAAAAAGTCCGCAAAAATTGAAAACGAACGACAGATTGCAAAAGATAGCAGGACCAACCCCAAAAATTCTTAAAATATATTAATAGTAAAAAGGTCCGGTCCGAGCATGTAGGCCCTTTACAAAATAATCTAGAGTGGGTGACTGGTGACAAAGAGAAGGCAAATTTATTAAATACCTTCTTCAGCTTTGTGTATACAATGGAGCATGGGGCAGCTCTTGTCCATAATGGGCATGGTATTTACACAGCTCCAGATGATCAACACTGGCTCACAATTGATATGATTCAAAAATATTTAGACAGAATAAAAGGTGAATAAAGCACCTGGACTGGGTGACATACATCCACGGGTCCTTAAAGAATTGAGCTCTGTCATTTCAAAGCCATTGTTTCGAATTTTTAGGGACTCTTTAATGACTGGCATAGTACCACTGGATTGGCGTAAAGCCAATTTGGTGCCAATATTTAAAAAGGAGTCAAAATCTTTATCAAGTAATTATAGACCTGTTAGTTTAACTTCTGTAGTTGGGAAGATACTGGAGAGTTTAATAAAAGACCACATAGATGAGTTCTTGCTGGGAAAAAATATTTTAAGCAACAGACAGCATGGATTCATGAAAGACAGAAGTTGTCAAACAAATCTGATTTCTTTTTTGAGGAGGTGAGCAAAATCTTGGACAGAGGGGTGGCAGTGGACGTGGTATACTTGGACAGAGGTGTGGCGGTGGATGTGGTATACTTGGACAGAGGGGGGACGTGGACGCGGTATACTTGGACAGAGGGGTGGCGGTGGACGTGGTATACTTGGACAGAGGTGTGGCGGTGGACGTGGTATACTTGGACAGAGGGGGGGTGGACGTGGACGCGGTATACTTGGACAGAGGGGTGGCGGTGGACGTGGTATACTTGGACAGAGGGGTGGCAGTGGACGCGGTATACTTGGACAGAGGGGTGGCGGTGGACGTGGTATACTTGGATTTTGCAAAAACGTTTGACACAGTTCCCCACACACAGCTAATGTGTAAGGTAAAGTCTACAGGCTTGGAAAAATCTGTATGTAAATGGATAGAAAACTGGCTGAAAGATTGTATTCAAAGAGTAGCGGTTAATGATTTATACTCTGAATGGTCTGGGGTCATCAGTGGTGTACCCCAAGGTTCAGTGTTGGAGCCCTTACTTTTTAATATATTTATAAACGATATAGCGTCTGGGATTATAAATACTGTTTCAGTCTTTGCAGATGACACCAAATTGGATCATATTTTGCTGGGTAATTTTGCCTTCCTCTGGATCAATTGTGGGTATAGAATTATAACTTTTTTTTTTTATTGGTTGAACTGGATGGACTTTTGTCTTTTTTCAGCCAGACTGACTATGTAACTATGTTGTCAGCACTCCTTACTCTCCCCTGCAGCTGCACTGGCTGATACAGGGGAGTGGGATCACATGACTTTCCCAGAGTGAACTGAAAATAGGTAAGTATACAGATCTTTCTTACACAGGTTAGCAAGCATAGCTATTAGAAGGGGTAGGGAAAGTTTTAAGAGCAGTTAGGGTTAAGCCTGGAATTCCACTTAGGGAGAACAAAGATGCTGTTAGTGGTTGCCACCATTTTCTTAAGGATCACCTCTATTAAAGCAAAGTGTTGGTCAAGAAAATGGGGGGTGGCAATCGATGGCACCTTTGTAAAGCGCAGTAATGGTTTTCAAGAAAACGAAGGCAACCTTTTCTCCTGGGTGAAGGTGCACACTTCTGATATGCCATCTATGGAATGCCTTGGACAGAATGTTAGAACTGTGAACATGCTCCACTGTCATATCATTAAACAAAGACTTTCTTAAAAATCAATAAGAAAGCATAGTGTTGACCTTAAAACAATAGCAATGAGGGATATGAATTGGCTCCTTTG